GTTGTAGCTTGTGGCTGCAGGTTTATTCTTTTAGGAATCGCTAAACTGACATCCAGACGGTATCGGACCAGTTCGCCGACTACAAAATATCACTGTTTTCTGATAAAATTTTAGGTAAAATCGCGGAAGCAGAATCGCTTACTTCATGGTGCCGTGGCGGGCCGCTTCGGCTTCGGTTGCCGACTAGAAAAATTTCGATTTATAGTCCTCGATAAAAGTAAGTGATTAATAATTAGTTTTGATTAAAGCAATTTACCCTCAGATCCTCTTGGCGCAGCTGGATCTCCCACCCGCATGTCGCGAAGTCCTGCACCGGAAAGATGGCGTAATCGATTAATTAGGATATTTCCAAACTATGAAAATGGTCGTATTGTGTAGTCTGGAGGCCAGTTTGCAAAAGCCCAAAAAATTCGGCCTCGAACTAAAAATTCCAAAAATTCAGAGCATTTCGAAAATTTGGCGAAAATCCAATTTTTCCCGATTTTCCGTAGGATTCCTGTTGACGTTTGGGGGTACTGTAGATGATTGTTATGATCTATTCGAAAGAGGAGAATGAGTTCTATCACATCCCAACACTATCATCTACCCTATCCCTAGATCTAGCCATTCTAAGGGGCGGGAACATCGGGAAAATCGCGATTTTGACGCTTAGCCGAATCGACCCGATTGACGTCTAGAGGTACTGTAGAGAATTTACGGTGCTTTTTGGATGGCTTGGGTGTCAGTTAAGATATTACGTTCGAAAGTTAGGTTAGATTTTTTTGAAAAAGCAAAAAGCACGCCCCGGACGGGAATCGAACCCGAATCCGACACCAAGTAGCGTTTTTTTGTCGTCTGAAGCCTATTTTTGCGAGTTGTAGTCTCTGGCCTGGCACCCAGTTTACCCTATCAAAACCTTTTTATAAACGATGGCGGCGCCGGAGAGGCTGGGATGGACGGGTTCGACAAGCAGCGGCTCCTTTCCCTCCTGCGGCTCTAAAGGGACAGTGACAGCAGATACAGACTACAAACCACAATGACAGGTGCTCAGTGTCCGATTGGTGACCATGCCGACCGTCTTGAAATTGTAGCAGCCCATCGCCGTCGCGTTCGCCATCTTCGAGCCGTTCACCCAGACGCCGTCGCAGAAGAAGGTGCGAAACGGGCAGTCTGGAATTTATTTCTTGACTAGAATGGTTAAGCTGGCAGGCAGGCGACAAACTACACCCTTTAGAACAAGGCTACAAACTACAGCAAATCTACTAGACCGGCACCCCCGGGTTCGACCCCCGCCCGCGGCACCCGTTTGCTTTTTGAACATTTTGTGAATTTCTTTATTGGAATCGATAAACTGGATGCCAGACTACAGACTACAGCTTTTGTTTTTGAGCTACAAACTGCAAAAAGCTACCAGGCCAACGACCCGGGTTCGATTCCCGCCCGCGGCTAACTTTTTGCTTTTTGGAAATTCAGTTGATTATTCGTTTCGGATGGGTAAACTGAGAGCTAAACTACAAAATACAAAAGTGCACATCTTTCTACAGTATCCTAGACGTGATTTGGACGCTTTCGGAAAATCGTTTTCCCAAATTTTCGACTGGGTCTAACTTTTTGGAGTTTGTAGCTAGAAATCTAATTGTTTCAGGAATGGCTAAACTGACATGCCGACTATAAAATACAAACTACAAATTTCTCTCCCTACAGTAATGGATCTTCTCTTCGCCGACGAGCGCTTCAAGCACCTGGCGCCGTTGATTTTCGACCGGAATATAGGCTGAAAATTAATTCACTAAAAAAGTTTGAAATCGATCGAGTGCGTAAGTTTTTGACCGTATTCGACAACAAAAAGAAGCAATTTTGTGGCACAAAAAAACAAAAAAAAAGTGTCATAAAAAAATCTAAAACTTCAGATTTTCAGCGTTTCTTATTTTTTTAAACGATAGTTTCGTAATTAATTAGTTAGTTTACAAGGCCATTTGGGCAGCCCGATGCTGCAATTGCGCGTCGAGGCGTAGCGCAGGGCGTCGAGTGGATCGAGAAGACCGTAGCTCTGGGGGCAGAACACGTGGTGGCTCACTGAAACACGACCCAGCGGAGATCATTTGAGCATGAAATGAAACTTTCATCGCATTATCCCAAAACTTTCTCGGCAGGATCTTGATGTTTCGCAAATGCTCTGAGATTCGTGGGATTTCGCTTGGCTAATCGGGGTTACGTCCGTCTTCTTAACATTTTTATCCGGCAAGCCAGCAGTGATTCTGTGCGGAATTGGAGTTTCCTATAGAGAAAATGAAGCCCATGGCAAAAATCAAGTGTTTCGAAGTTTCTAGGGGCACGAATTGGTCGTGTTTCGAGAATCCACCTGAAATTCTTTTCCCTTCTGAATTACTCAAATCTTCTAGCCACCAGGGTAGCTAACAGGGATTCTTTGGGAGGGTAGCGTTTTCGAGGTCGGAAAGCTAGCAGAGACGATTTACGGAAAACAGAATAAATTTGTTAAAACGAGGATGTTTCACTATTTTTTAAAGGGCGGCTTAATTTGCTGGCATTAATGCATTATAGAGGTTGTGAGGCAAATCACTAATATTTCATTCGGAATTATTAGACCCGGGCACGCTAGCAGAGACCATTTGGGAATGGGTTTAAATTTGTAAAAGCCAAGATTTTCTGAAAAATACACACGTTTCACAAATTTTCAGGGAGCGTTGACGATGGTTTGTACTACAAACTTTGTAGTAATGTATGCAGGATATTTCTTCAATAATTCATTCAAAAATGTTAGGCAAGCTAGCAGATATTCCTTAGGAAGCATCGGAAAATAAGAAAATAAATTTAGCTGGCAGTAACCACCCATCACCCTCTCAGAAACCGATCTAAAGCTTCTTCTTTCGACATTAAAAACAAAAACAAGTAAAAAATTGGAAACAAAAAAATAAAAAATAAAGGGTTTCGACGAATTGTCGTATTGCCATCGAATTAAGGAAGTTAATTTTGTTATGCTCTTTAGCGGTAATTTATTGTATCCATAACCGAAAAAAGAATTCTTTGCCGGCCCTTTCTAAAACCGCTTTACATTTTTTAGAACTTTTTTTCATAGGAGATTAGAAATAATGCGTTTCAAATAAGTCAGGGTAACCGTTGACGCGCGCTTGTTTAATAGGGCATTTTCCGCAAAGATCTCTGCTAGAGTGCCCTTTCCCAGAGGTTCTCGAATTTCAGGCATAGGGGCAGAAAGAGCAGCATTATTGAGGAATTTGGCAAGCGAGCAGGGATCTTTTCGAAAAGCGTTACAAATTAGCCCATCGATCGATCAAAAATTAAAATTAAACGTTTCATAATTTTTTCAATCCAGAAAATTTGTCTGCGTAGCGTAACGTATTGAAGGTCGCTTCCCCCATTTCGCCAGGGCAAGCTAGCAGAGACCATTTGAGGCAAGAACCTTAAAAATTGATCCAAGAACTTTAAATAACCGTCGATAAATAATCATGTTTCGCAAATTCGTTAGGTCTTGAAAAACTGTTTTATAATAATTGTATCGTCAGGATTCAGGAAGTGAATTTCGCCAATTTTTGGATGGCGCTAATTGTTTTTAGTTTGTAGCTTGAACTTCAATTCTTTTGGGAATAGCTTAACTGGTTGGCAGGCTACAGAATACAATCATTTGCTTAGGATACAGACTACAGAAAAGCCTCTAAGCAAACGACCCGGGTTCGATTCCAGCCGAGGCTAACTTTTTGCTTTTTGGGATTTTAAGGGATTCTTCGATTGGGATGGCTAAGCTGGTTGTCAGTTTACAAGACTACAGAAGGCTACAGTACGCCTGGCTGCCAATAGTAGTCCCGCCGAAAATGATCAGTTTTCGGCCGGTTTTTCTTCGATTTAACGTAACTTTTTGTAGTTTGGAGCCAGAGTTCTAATTTTTGCGGGAATATCTTAACTGGCTGTCAGTTTACATGACTAGAATAAAATGACGGACAAAAATACATCAAATTCAATCTGTTAAATCGATTTTCTTGTAAAAAATCAATATCCATATCCTGCTCCTCTACCGTATCCACCGTAATGTATCGAAATTCCGAATTATTCTGAAAAAAAAATCATATTAAAAATCCATTATTTTTATTAAAATAACATACTTAAAATCTTAAATTTTTCACCAATATTAAATAACCAATTCAATTGCATTTTCCAATCAACAAATTTTTAATTTGTTTTTGAAGTAAGCTAAAAATTAGCCAAATAGATCTCCGGTCTAACTAGTAATTTTGATGCAACAATTTTTCGAAAAATAATTCAATAAAATGTTTCAAAAAAATTTCAGCTTTTAGGGATTTTGACTGTTTTAATAATGCTTTCTTCGGCCGTTAGAAATTTAAATTATTTTAATTTTTCAAGGTTTCTATTACTTAATGAAGAATGAATGCAGGCGTTGACCAGCGATAATTAACTAATCCACACGCCCGGGCAAGAGGTATTTTTCCTGAAACACTTTTTAACCAGACAGAAATTTGATGTTTCATATATTTTGAAAGAGACTGGAATTTTGACTGCTTTGATTCATATAGCATCGTGCCAGCTTTATTATTATTATTATTGTTAATGATTCTAATGTACTTGTTTTGTATTTCGCATGATGGCTGCGAAACTAAAAAAATGTTTTCCACCGAAATAAAAAAAAATGTTTGAGCGAATTCTCAATATTTTGATTTTGGATTTCGATAATAGTCGTACATTGCCGAAGCTTAAATATTTAATTTGGGTGTTCGAAATTGTATATGTTTCACAAAATTCCAACGTATATCGCAGTTTGGGTGCTGTAATTTCGCACCAGCTGTTTCCGACCCAATTTACTGATTTTTGACCTTTAAGTATTTTTTTAATTAATTAAGGTAATTAATTGTTATTTTTAATTTTTTTCTAGCCAAACCCATTTATTTGTCGAGCCAACCTGAATGCCTCGTGAATTGGGGGAATCACAAAAATAGATCAATGAATTAAATGGATTTTTTCGTAAAAAATCAATATCCATATCCTCCTCCTCCTCTACCGTATCCACCGTAGTTGTACCGGTAGCGATTATTATGCTGAAAAAAACACATTTTATCGTTTTTAAATCATAAATGTTTCACGTAATTTCCATTACGATTAAATTTATATAGCTTTAATAGTGCTATCACGGCTCATTTTAATCGATTGAAATGTATATTTTAATAAATCTTTATTAAAATGCATTCGGGTAAATAATTAATTAAACTCACCCCATTTCCATTATTATTCTGAAAAACACATATTTTATCATTTTTAAATCAGAAATGTTTCACCAAATTTCCATTACGATTAAATTTATATCGCTTTATTAAATGAAGTTATTGCGGCTCATTTGAATCGATTAGAATGTATATTTTAATTCGTTTAAATAAAATTAAAACTCACCCCATTGCCGTTATTTTTGCCATTATTGTTGTTGTTTTTGCCATTTCCATTATTGTTATTATTATTGTTATTATTATTATTATTATTATTGTTTTTGCCATGATGATAATATCCTCCACTATATCCACCGTATCCCCCGTAGCCACCGTAGCCATATGAGCCGCAGGAACCTGGAAAATTGTGATTAAACGGCGAGAGCCTGAAAAACGTCAAAAACAAGGAACCGCTAGTCTAAAAAAAATATGTTTCGAAAAAATTTAAAAACTAGAGATTTGTACGATTCGTAATTCTAGTTAAAATAGGAAGAACCATTAAATTTACCAAAACATAACTTTCATTTAAATTTTTCGATCTATTAAAAATTTTTGAAAGTCTATGAATTCAAAATCGCTTGAAAAAAAAATTATAAAATTACCATTGCAAGACCCGCAGCCTCCATTGCAGTCGTAGCCTAGAAAATACAAAATTAAAAGTTAGGTTTTAAAAATTAACCTACCGTAATAATAGCCGCAGGAATGATTGCAGGGAGCACACGTCCCACACCCACAACCACCATATCCACCGTAACCTGAAAATTAAGGGGAGTTTTGCGGATTTTTCTATCGCTAATGCCAAACTGGCAGGCAGACTACAGACAGCAGCTCTCAGAAATAGACTACAGACTACAAAAGCTACTTGGCGGACGACCCGGGTTCGACCCCCTCCGCGCCTAACTTGTTGCTTTTTGAAAATTTGACTTATTTTTCGATCGGAATCGAAAAAATGTCAGACAGACTACAGACCACAACTCTCAGAAATAGACTACAGACTACAAAAAAGCTGCCAGCCGAACGACCAGGGTTCGAACCCTCACCGCGGCGAACTTTTGATTTTTGCCTTGTGATCCCAGTTTTCGATAGCGTTCGCTAAACTGGCAGGCAGACGACAGACTACAACTTTTATTTTGGGGCTACAAACTACAGAACAGCTACCAGGCGAGCTACCCGGGTTCGAATCCCTGCCGAGGCTAACTTTTTGCTTTTCGCTTTTTTTGTGCATTTCGCTATTGGTATCCCTAAACTGGTAGCCAGACTACCGACTACAATCGAGATCCTGATGCTATATGCCATAAAATCCAAAAAAACCGGCTGGAAACTAAAAAAGCGAAGCTTTTACCCACCTCCATAGTAGCGTTTTTGGCGCGAGGGCGGATCGGCTGCATCAGAATCGTTGGCCTGAAATCAAACTACCTAATTTTTCAATTAAAGGTTGTTTGCCTTTATCATTAATTGCTTCAAGATGTTCACTTGAATTTTCGGGCCGTTTTGCAATTTGCATGTTTCAAAAATTTTTAAGAACGAGAATTTTGGGAATTTGATAGTACAAGCGGAAGCTAGAATGAAATGGCGAAGTGGATATCAGATAAATTCTACAAAATTATTTCCACAAAGCACCTCTGCCAGTTGCCCCAATTTAACGAACTTTGTAAAAAATTTAATTCTTTTAGTTTTTTTGAAAATTTCCATGTTTCAAAAATTTATAAAAAGTAGAAATTTTGCAGTTAGGTAGTACAGAAAGTGACACAGCGGACAGTAAGTTTTCTAATTCCATAAAATAATTAAAACACTAAATAAATATTTCAGTTTTCCACAAATTACCTCTGCTAGCTGCCTCAAATATCGGGGCTCCACAATGACCCAGAGAACGGCCACAACGGCCAGCAGCCACAGGCCCGCCAGTGTCATCTGAAGTTAATTTTTAGCATTAAATTAATTTAATTTAATTCAATTAAATTTACCAATTTTAATTAAATTTTAATTTTAAATTCATCTTGGATTAAAGAAAATTAAACAACACGATAGCAGCGCTGAATATCGATTAAAAATTATTTTATTTTTTAACTTTTTCTGAAACATTTTTTATTCTATGTTTTAAACTTTTCGATTTAAATAACGTCAATACACCACTTTTATTAAAATAATTAACTCAATTTCAAATTAATAAACTTGGTACTTTAGTAGAAAATTAAATTAAACATTTTTACGACGAAACTTTTTTACTAAATTCAAGCTTAATATAATTTAAGCCAAGTGAATTTGGCCCATTTATACCACCAGATTTTATTTGCTCAGCCGGCCCCGGAAAAAAGCAATTTTTGCAAAAAAACACGTGAGGAATAAATTACCTGACCGCCAGATGGCATAAGCAAACAAAAATTATGCAAATTTTCCAGGCAATTCCAGGGCGGCTGGAACTTGGAAAATGGGCTTGCAAGCCCCTAAAAACCTCAGGAAATGCCGCGAAGCGGTTTTTCGCTCTGGTGCGGGTAAATTTAAAACCGGTGGTGGAGATCCAAGAATTGTTGTCATAACGTATTACGTATCTCCAAAATTTTCCGTTTTTAATTTTTATTGAAACATCGAATTTTGAGAAAAATTGTCAGAGCAGCTAAATTTTGGACATAATCTCCTAAAAAAAGCAAAAAAAATGCGCAAAAGGGGATTTTCATCTGGTTCGAAAGTATCTGGGTGGACAGGATTAGCGTTTTGGAAAAATTTTGAGTATTGAATTTTGCTGAAACATTAAAAGGCCAAAAATTCATTTTTCACAAAAATGTTTCATTTTTGCTCCATACAAGTGCCTTATATAACCTTGATTTCTAAATTTAGCATGTTTAAAATTTCCGTTTTTAAATACAGGTTCAAAATTCGGGGAAAGAAACGAGTCCAATACATATCCAATACATAATAAGCATTTTCGAAATTTCCGATTCTTAAGCTTTTGTTGAAACATCGAATGCGGAAAACGCGGCACTGCTAATTTTCTATTCTTCAAACCCGCCAGTTTCATTCGGATTTTAAAGTTTTAACGATGTAAAATCTCGGTCACCACCGCGAGTTTAGAGACAAATTGAGGCCTCCAAGAAATTCGGGGTTTTCAACGCTTATGCAACATTTTTACGCAAGCAAAAATCACTTGCTCGATTTTTGAAGATTATTAAAATCGGCTCCACAACAATTTTTGGTATGAAAAATCGCAAAAACCGTTTGAAAATCGACATTTAAAAAACAATTATAGATGGGAGCTTAAACCTAATTTTCTAAGAATAATTAAAATTTTCAAATTTTTTATCAACTGAACTGCTGCGTTAAAATGACTACAATCGTTCAAGGTGTGAATATTACCCTCGGATAGGAGCCTCAATTTAACGTGCACAATAATCATTAGAAAGAACATTTAAAAAAACATAAAAATTCGCAAAAAGTGTGAATTTTCAAATATTGGCATCAATTAAATCTTCAAAAAATTCGCGATTAACCTGTTTTAATGCAACATATAATGCAAAAAATTAATACAAGAAGGTTTAAGACATTAATCAACATCAAAATGAGACGTTAAAATGAATTAAAAGATGCGAATTATTAATTAAAAAAAACCGCACTGCCGCTTCAATGCGGATAACAATCGCGAAATTCGGAGTTTTCTGAAACATTGGAAAAAATGTCAATTATCAGCCAAATATACTCCAAATTAAATCATATAAAACTGGCGATTATCAGGTTTTCAACGACACATCATTATAGAAAAGAGCCTCAAAAGTGTTTTAAAAAAACATCGTGAAGGTGTGAATTTGTGAATCTCAGTTTTTGGTTTTTCATGCAAACTACATTTACTATGACTAATTTCGTCCAGAATCTTCGAACTGTATTTTTCGATGAAACGCATTTATTTAACCGTTTCCAAGCTGAATTTTCGGCGTTTGTGAAATTTAAAAATTGCAAAAAGCAAGGGTAATGATCAACAAAATCGCAACTAAAATTTTAATCCTGAAAAATTTGTTGTTAAGAGCCATTTAATGAAACATAATTTTATAAAAAAATTGACCTCAAAAATCGATTTTGCAATTTGTTTTTTATTTGCAATTTTATGAACATACTTTTTTAAAAATCGCATTTACTTAAGATTCTCATTAACTTGCGTATTTTTTTTTTGAATAAAACACGCCAAAAAATACAAAATAGTTTATTTTAAGAATTTAATTAAAGGCTACCATTTTTTTAGGATTTGCTTAATTTCCAAAAAATTGGGCCAGCTAGCAGAGGCCATTTGCGGAATTCCGTTTTAAGTTAATTGGCTTGATTTTTTTTATTTTTGAAACAAAATTTAGTTAACAAATTTACAAAACAAATTTGCGTAGCCGGAAGGATTTTTCAGCAAAAAAAATCCCCAAAAATTCGCATTTTCACTCCCACCCCCAAATCGTCAATTTCCCCCTCAAAAATGACAATTACTTCCCGGCCACTTGTTGCCATTTTCTGCCTATTTCTGCTGAATTTGGCAGCCGCTCAAACGACCGAATCGGTCGATGATGATGGGACCACGACGACTGAGAAGCCGACGACTACGGAAGATGGTCGGTCAAGCAAATGGCCCCTGCTAGCCTGGGTTTCCCCTAAAATTCTGCATTAACGATTGTAGCCTGTAGTCTGCCTCCCAATTAAGCTAATCCAAAACAAATTTAAGTTCTATCTATAAATTACCAGAAGTTTGCCCCGTTCGGATATGTCGCGAAATCTCAATTTTTCCTGATTTCCGCTAGCTTCCTGTTGACATTTGGGGATACTGTAGATGGTTGTTATGATCTATTCGAAAGAGGAGAATGAGTTCTATCACATCCCAACACTATCAGCTACCGTATACCTATATATAGCCATTTAAAGGGGAAGGAACACCCCGAAAATCGCGATTTTGGCACTTTTCCGAATCGCTCCACGTGACGTCCATGAATACTGTAGAGCCTTTAAATTGCATTTTTGGCCTGTTTCAATGTCAGTTTAGCGATTCCAGTCAGAAAAACAACAAAATTTTCAAAAAGCAAAAAGTTCAGCGCGGCCGGGGATCGAACCCGGGTCGTGAGGCTCATAGCCTTTCTCTAGTCTGTAGCCTGGTTTTACATGTTGTATTTTGTAGTCTGGCTGCCAGTTTATTAATAGCAGTTGAGAAATGGAGATTCCTAAAAGATCTCTGCTCGTTACCCTCTAAATTTCAGTGAGCCACCACGTGTTCTGCCCCCAGAGCTACGGACTTATCGATCCACTCGAAGCCATCCGCTACGCTACAACACGCAATTGCAGCATCGGGCTGCCCAGGGAACCGGGTACGTTTGTAAAATATCAGGTTATGAATGAAACACCAGCAAAAATTTGAAAATTCGAAAAATTTGAAATTTTAGTTTTTTTCTGCGAAATTCGGTACTGGTGTTTTAGCGGGGGCCTAACAAATTCGGCTACGGTTTACTTTACCCCCCCCCCCCCAGCCGGAAGTTTTTGGCTATAACTTTTTTATTTTACATTATTGTAGGCTCAAATTAAAACTCTTAGTGTATTTTTCGACGCTCTATCGAATGGCGTTGCGAAAATCCCGACAAAATAAGCGAAAATACCGACAACTTTGAGACCCTTCGGCTGTGGGGGGTAAAGTAAACTCTTACCACAAATTCCCAACAGCTTTGTAACAAACTATCGACTAATTTTATAGCATTTTACACAGTTTTGAGATGCAAAAAAGCTCATAAAAACTACCAAGAAAATCGACTTTAAGTTTTTGCAAAAAAAATGTTTCAAAACTTCTTAAAAAAGCACCAAAATTCTGAAAATTGTAATGGATTATTTCTATTCTAGCAATAAAAAACTAATCAAACGCGATAAAATAACCAATACGCGATAACAAATATGTATAGACGAAAAAATTAAATCCCCCCCTCCGCTAACAGCGTAGCACCGAAAATTCGATTTTTTTTTTGTTTTTTTTTTTGCTAAAATGGTATTTTTCTTTTTCATGTGGATTATGATATAAAAGGTTTTTACTATACGATTTAACGCTAACTTGACGCTTTTTGATACATCGATTTTCAGCCTCGGTCCCCGTCGAAAATCAGAGGCGCCAGGTGCTCGAAGAGTTGGCCGGCCTGGAGATCGTCCATTACTGTAGGGGGGAATTATCTTGGAGTTTGTAGTTCGTAGTCTGGATGTCAGTTTAGCTTTTCAGGGCTAAAAACCAACAAAAATTTCAAAAAGCAAAAAGTTGGCGGCGGGCGGGAGTCGAACCCCGGTCGCTGGCCTGGTAGTTTTACTGTAGTCTGTAGCCTCGATTTAAAGGTTGTAGGCTGTAGTCTGACTGCTAGTTTGAAGAATCCCGGAAGAATTAGGGTTCTGGCTACAAACTACGAAATATTTGACGCTATGGAAAAACTGGCGAAAATCCAATTTTTCCGAAGGGGCGAATAGACGTCTAGAGGTACTGTAGATAACCTTTCACCTTCTGTATTTTGTAGTCTGTCTGGCAGTTTAGCCATCCCAAGCAAGAAATCCGAAAAATTTTCAAAAGCAAAAAGTTTGCCGCGGCCGGGAGGCGAACCCGGATCACGCTCCTGATAGCTGTTTTGTAGTTTGTAGTCCAAAAGTAAAAGTTGTAGCCTGTAGCCTGGCTGCCAGTTTAGTCATTCCCGTCAAGAAATCCATTCCAGACTGCCCGTTTCGCACCTTCTTCTGCGACGGCGTCTGGGTGAACGGCTCGAAGATGGCGAACGCGACGGCGATGGGCTGCTACAATTTCAAGACGGTTAAGATGATCACCAATTACACACTGAGCACTTGCCATTGTGGTTTGTAGTCTGTATCTGCTGTCACTATCCCTTTAGAGCCCCAGGAGGGAAAGGAGCCGCGGCTTGTCGAACCCGTCCATCCCAGCCTCCCGGCCGTTGCTGAGCACTATAAAAAGGTATGGATCGGACAAACTGGCAGGCAGGCTACAGACTACAACTCTTAGAAATGGGCTACAGAGTACAAAAACCTACTAGGCGATCGACCCGGGTTCGACTCCTAGCCGCAGCATGACTTTTTGCTTTTTGAAACATTAACTTATTTTTCGATCGGAATCCCTAAGCTGACAACCAAGCTACAAAATACAAGGATGAAAGGTTTTTTGACAGTACCTTGGCGTCAATGGGTGTAATTCGGAAAAACGTCAAAATCGCGATTTTCGGGGTGTTCTGCCCCCTTAATTGGCTATTTGGCGGGATCCGGTAGATGATAGTGTTGGGATGTGATAGAACTCATTCTCCTCTTTCGAATAGATCATAACAATCATCTACAAATGTTAACAGGAACCACGCAGAAAATGGGAAAAAAAATTGGATTTTCTCAATTTTTCGAATGGATCCGAGTTTTTGTAGTTTGTAGCTAGCGCCCTAGTTTTTTCACGAACTGCTAAACTGGCTGGCAGACTACAAAGTACAACGCGTTTTGTAGTCTTAGAAAGGTTAGCTTTTCAAAATTATGCTGATTTTGACCGATTTTGTGAGTTTCAGAACTGGACGACGTGCGGGTGGAAAATTCAGCTGCGCAAGGAGGACGTGATGGTACTTTATAAGATTTAGATAATTTTAATTTAATTTAATAGCGTATTTTCCAGTCCGAAGACGACCCCTCGCCCACCAACTACTCGGCCCCCCACCGCACTATCGGGTATTTGTCATTTTTAGCTTTTCATGGCAAAATCGGCTAAAAAATCGTTGCATTTTGTAGCCTGCTAGCCAGTTTAACGATTCCAAAAAGAAGTGAGGTTCCAGCTCCAAACTACAAAAAATCAGGCCATTCGAAAATTTAGCAAATCACCATTTTTCCGGTTTTCCGCTGGATTCCTGTTGGCATTTGAGGGTACTGTAGATGATTGTTATGATCTATTCGAAAGAGGAGAATCAGTTCTATCACATCCCAACACTATCATCTACCGTCTCTCTAAATCTAGCCACTTAAAGGGGCAAGAACACACGGAAAACCGCGATTTTAGGACTTTTCCGAAACGGTCCAATTGACGTTTAGGGTTACTGAAGAACCTCTAAATACCATTCTTGCATCAACTGGACGTCAGTTTAGCAATACTCATCGACAATTAAACCAAATTTTCAAAAAGCAAAAAGCTAGCCGCGGCCGGGAGTCGAACCCTGGTCTTTCGCCTAGTAAATTTTATGTTGTTTGTAGCTTCAAAATAAAAGTTATAGTCTGTAGTCCGGGTGCCAGTTTAGCCATTTCCAGGGAGCCACTTGAATTTCCAGTTGGCTGACCGCGGGAATGGTGGCCGGCTTGCTGATGAGGAGCCTCAACTACTGAACGCCCTGCTCGAGCAGTTCAACATCTCAACGACGGGCCGAATTCCACAAGGATCCCTGCCACTCACCCCTTGGTTTAAGCCCCGCCCCTTTTCTGTGGCCACGCCCCCTTTTTGGTGTTTTTTTTCTGGAAGAGCAATGTACGCGGAATAAATACTTTGTTGGGCGAGGAAAAATTGATTTTTGCATTTTCTGAAATCTATTTTATGTTATTAGCTAAACGGGCGTGAAGACTAAAAACTACAATTTTTATCTTGGGGCTACAGACTACAGAAAAATTACTAGGCGAACGACTCGAGTTCGATTCCCGGCTCGGAGCTAACTTTTGCGTTTTGCAAGATTGATCAATTTTGTGAATGGCAATCGCTAAACTGACAGCCAGACTACAGACTACAGCCCTTAGCTTCAGGCTACAAACTACAGAAACCCTATCAGGCTTACGAGCCGGGTTCGACCCCCGCCCGGGTCTTAGTGTGATGTTTTCTCGAGCGGCATTGCCAAACTGACCGGCAGGCTACAAAATGCAGCTTTTATTTTACGGCTACAGACTACAGCAAGCTGCCAGATTTGTTGGACGTTTTACTCGGAAACAGCAATGTTTCAACGAATAAAGCAATTCCGAAAATGTTTTCACTTTTAATTCGACGATGATATCCTCCGCTAATTAATTGTGGCATTCATCGCATGCAAATTGGGCAAACTAGCAAAGGAGATGGAATGAATTCACCAAAAAAGGCAAAATTCTCATTTTCTTAGCATACCTTCATCATTCTGTAGTTTATATTATAGTTGTAAAAAACGCATTAATATTATTAATTTTTATTACGATAATAATACTAAAAACATGATAACAATTATTATCAGTGTTTCATCATTTTTAGGTCAGGGCGCGCGGGAAATTGGCAGTAATTTGCGGCGAGTTTCATACGCATAACAAGTTATGTAAAACTTACGGAAGACGATACGGCACATTCGAATTTCCATCCAAATCTCCCAATAATTTTTGTTTTTCAAAATTTTTTCGATTTTGCTATTGAAATCGCTAAACTGGCAGCCAGACCACAAACTACAACTTTCAGCTTGGAGCAGATTACAGAAACAGTAGCGCATTTCCTCGAGTTTCACTTCCAAAAAAGCCGATGTTGATCGCTAGAGAAATTGTAAAAATGTATAAGTTTTTAGTCGGTTCTTTTTAGTTGATTTAGCTGATTTTTGCCAATCCAAAACAAATAATGTTTCAACAACAATCAAATTCTGAAAAATTTTATCGTTGTCTAATTCGTTGTCGCCCAAACATTGTTTCATCATTTTCAGGTGAGGGTGCGCGTCGAATTGGCAGTAATGTATACTGTATTCCCAATACAAAATCGATCATTTCGTTAACCCCCGGCAACTTAATTCTTTTTGCTCGATATTTAAAAAGTATTATTTCTCAAATAATCTTCGTTAGCCTTACCTGCCTTTTACAATCAATTACGCCATTAAATTCATGGAATCCAGGGTTTAACGGGCCTTTAGCGATGTCTAAATGATCACTGCTAGCCTGCCACGGGAGCTGCAATTTTGGCAAAGCTTCTCATCGTTTACACAAAAAAAGAAATGTTTTATTTAAAAAAATGATGTTCCAAAATATTGCCTACGTCGAAGAGCAAAATTTGCAATAATGAAAATGCTGCAGGATGAATACGAAGTTTCCGACTGATTTCGGTTCAGTCAGTTTTCGGTCCGGCTGATTGCTCAATTCAAACCAGCGCCACCTTTGCGGAATTTTGAAACATTATTTTTCATCGAAGCAAAAAAATTGATTAGAAGTTTTTTTCGGTATTTCATTCCCGAAATGCCCTCTGCCGGTTGACTTTCGGCAAATTTCGTCTGCTAGCCTGCCGACTAGAGAAATTTCCAGAGAGGGAGTGTCGTCGATTCCATTTTGGCACGTCGTCGATTCTTCCATATTACAAAAAACTCTGAAAACGAGAAAAGCAGACCATTTGCTTACCAATCGATTTTCTCAAAATAATTCGGTAAAAAAAAAGTAAGATTTTGCTGGATTCTGGGGGGTAGCAATTGTTGCAGATTCTATAAATTCCCACTCTCGTTGGCGATAAACAAACTATTTCGAATTTTCCAGCGCACCGGCAGGCTAGCAGGGGCTCTTTGCGGAAATAAACCTCGAAGACATGCTAATTTTGGCCGGTAAGCCAGCAGGGATCGTTTAGGAGAACCCGACAAATAAAAGCCAATTTAATTAAATTTTGATTTTCCTAAATCTCTTTCAAGGAATTTTATGTTTCGGAGAAATTAGTAGATGCAAAAAGCAGTTTTCATTAATTCGTTCGTACTACGAAATCCAATCATACTTCCAAAATTTCAATGCGAATTTAGACTTTTAAATACGTGAAAAACGGGCGTACTTTGGCATTTCATCAAATTTCCCGGAAATGGGAGGCCGGCTGCTTTTCGGCTTCATCTTTATCGTCTTATGGCCGTCTGCCGCCGCTCTGAGTACGTTTTTATTTTCCGCAAAGAATCCCTGCTAGCCTACCCAAACGGCGCTAGTCTGTTAGCGGGGGGATGGCTAATTTTTCCCTGTAATTCCGTGGTCACGATGAAGAAATACAAATCATTTTTTAGAGCATTTTAGGCAGTTTTCAGAATTTTAGGAATTGTGAAAAATTTGTGAAATTTGAATTTTTTGGCTGAAAAATGTTTCAACAAGTCCTAAAAAGTTGACAATTTTAATTTTCATACTTTTTTGGATTTATTTTCTAACAAAAAAACTACTTAAAATACTAGAAAAATATTGACGATTTATTACCAACAAGTCGGAAAAATCAAAATCGGCCGCCCCCTCCCCCGCTAACAGACCGATACCGGTAAAAGCGTAAAGGCCAAAATTAGTGTTTTTGAGGCGGGGCTAGCTAGCCGAGATTATTTTGGAAATGAAATTCAACTTCGAAAATCGATTTTCTGACCGACAGGCTACAAACTACATCCATTTTCAACCGGGAAAACCGGAATTTTAGGCTTGAATTTTTGCAAAAACCGGGATTTCGCGAAATCTGTCCTTTTTCAGGATACCTGATCCCGCAGAGCGCTGGCCCGAAAAGCTACGAAGAGCACCGATCGACACCCGGCAGGCAAATTGAGGCCGTGGGCTTCGCGGAACGAACCATTTTCGTCATTCAGAATCAGGACGAGGAGCAGGGATACGGTAGGCAGTCTCCAGCTTGTTTTTCGGCACTAAAATCGTATTTTGTAGCCTGTAGCCTGGATCACCGTGTTGTAGTTTGTAGTTTTTCTGCCAGTTTAGCCATTTGGATCGAAAAACCACTCAAATTTCAAAAAGCAAAAAGTTCGAACTCGGCAGGGATCGAACCCGGGTCACTCGTCTGACGGCTGTTCTGTAGTCTGTAGCCTGTGTCTGATGGTTGTACTTTGTAGTCTGGCAGCCAGTTTGGCTATTCCTATCGAGAAACCGACTCAAATTTCAAAAAGCAAAAAAATTAGCCGCGGCGGGGATCCGAACCCGAGCCACGCGCCGGGTAATCTTTCTGTAGTTTGTAGTCTCAAACCAAAAGTTGCGGTTTGTAGCCTGCCTGCCAGTTCAGCGATTACTATCAAAATCCCTCTTGTTTTCAGTATGCCCGGAGAACCAGGTGGCCTGCCAGCTCTTCCAGGAGGAGGGCAGCTCCCCAAAGCTTGACGCAAAAATCGCCGGATGCTACGCAAAGGATACGGTCGATTTTAATGGATGCCACTGCGGTCAGTTTACGCTTTCGCTTTGCCTTTAATGGTCCTTTAAAGGGATTGGCAAAGCAGGGCCAAAATTTTAAAGCAATGGAGCCTAAGCCTATCGATATGGCCGATTTGCATGGCCGACCTCTGTTAGCTTAAGCCTAAGCCTAAGCCTAAGCCTAAGCCTAAGCCTAAGCCTAAGCCTAAGCCTAAGCCTAAGCCTAAGCCTAAGCCTAAGCCTAAGCCTAAGCCTAAGCCTAAGCTCTGGGGCAATCATTGGCCATCTCAAGGGAAAACCTATGGGACCCCCCTTCACAGTAGTGGGCCAGATGGGTGGCGTGTGGGGAGCAGACAGCAGCAGGAGCAGCAACCTTGAAACTCGACTTGCTAAATTTTAAAGGCCCATTGAAGGCAAGAATCCTCAGTGAATCCAGAGCTAAAAAATGCCTTCAATGGGCCTTTAAAAGGGGCAGTTTAGCAGATATTTCCGGAGATATGGCTAAACTGGGATGCAAGCACCTCGAAATTTAATTTGTCCCCGCTTTTAAAGGACCATTGAAGGCATGAGTCCATAGATACTACTTGGTCAGAAAAATTGCCTTCAATGGGCCTTTAAAAGCTGAAACTAGCAGAGATTTTTGCGGATATCGCTAAACTGGCATGCAAGTACCTTAAAAATCAATTTCTCAAAACTTTTAAAGGGCCATTTAAGGCAAGAATCCCTAGTCAATCGAGAGCTAAAAATGCCTTCAATGAGCTTTTAAAGTTGTATTTTTGCGGAGATTCTTGCCGATATTGCTAAACTGTCATCCATTAGCTGAGATAAAGCCATTTATTGCAGCGTACATCGCGAACGAGAAGCCGAAATTGCTGGAAGCGATGCACCCACAACTCGCCGAATACGCCCGCATCCTCAACCGGGTTTTTCCCATTTTTGGGATTTATCGATTACGCGATGTAATTGCAGCCGTCCTCGCTGTGCCCCCATATGGCCAAAGGACAATACCGCAACCTCGAGGACTGGGAATTGCCGGTCAGCTAGCCGCGATTTTTGAGGAATGTCTGGGGGCAGGCTAGCAGGGGTTTTTGGGGAATCGGAGGGATGGCCAGCAGCTAAACTTTGGGAACTTGTAAACTGGCTGCCAGTGAGCTAGCAGAGACAATTAGGGAAAATCCAGCGTGTGCTAGCAGCGTTTCTTTAAGGAATTCTGGATGACGCCGGGCTAGCAGAGATTTTTGAGGAATTAGAGCGGCAGGCTAGCA